TAATTTGGGTGGGGAAGAGGGCTTCTGGAACATTAACCATTTATTAATGAGTCAAAACTAGGCAATGCACCTTCCAGCACAATGTCCTACGATCCTGCATTTCAGTTACAAGCCATCAGTTTCTATTAGAGATTTGTGTGACAGTGTGTGGGTATGCTATATCCCAAGATTCTTTCCCAGAATATTTCTGAGAAAAGGGAGAATAAAGGGTCTCCTCAGAATGGGTGGGCATTTCTGACAAAGATGTTATATTGACAGGGAATGACTTTGATAAGTGGATGAGTGAATTGACTTGGAACATTTTTGACCTTTGTTTTTCATACATGTGTGGAAGAACTTGTTCATCTTTTCTTCTGACATTTTAAAATATGTCAAAAATTTCCTAAAGGTGGAAAGCTTTTTTTTTAGAAAAACTGCGATCAGTAAATATTAGAGGGTGCCTAATGAAGTGTATACATTAAAGATAAACACGATATAAATAAAATAAATTAAAGATTGCATCTACTGATAAGGACATGCTAGTTAGAGAACAAATGTGGGGTATTAATTTATCATCTTGCAGTATCATCATACACTTGACTTGTTTATTGACATACCATATAACTGATATTGGTTTCTAGTGCGCATGGATAGATCCTCATCAGATAATTTGTAACTCTGTATTGTCGAAGGCTTTCATGGCTGGAATCACTCAGTTCTTGTGGGTTTTTTCGGGCTATATGGCCATGTTCTAGAGGCATTTCTCCTGACGTTTCGCCTGCAACTATGGCAAGCTTCCTCAGAGGTCTGCTGGAGCTTAGGAAAAAGGGGTTTATATATCTGTGGAATGACCAGGGTGAGACAAAGGGCTTTTGTAAGTTGGGCTAGGTGTGAATCTTTCAACTGACCACCTTGATTAGCATACAATGGGCTGACTGTGCCTGGAGCAAACTCTTCTTGAAAGGGGATTAGATGTCCCTGCCTGTTTTTCTCTCTGCTGTTTTAATTTTAGAATTTTTTAATACTGGTAGCCAGATTTTGTTCATTTTCATGGTTTCTTCCTTTCTGTTGAAATTGTAACTCGTTATAAATTCATTTTAATTACCTTTTTGAAGTGATTTCGAGCTATTTTTATAAACCGGAAGTCCCTTCGCCCTTCTGAAGCTTTTTTCGCCATTTCTGTTCCAACTCAGGAAGTGAGTCAGAAATTATTCAGTGTAATTTCAGCCCTCTAGTCTGCTGGGAGGCAAGCAGCTTGCATGCAGGGAGGTTGCTTGCCTCCCAGCCAATCAGGGGAGAAGTTTTGGGGAGGGGAGGGGTTTTGGCAGCCATTGCTCTATATAAAGGGGAGCACATGGCTGAGAGGCTCATTTGGAGCCTGGGAAGGGAAGGGAAGGGAAGGGAGGGGAGGGGAGGTTGTGTTGAAGGGAGTTTGGAAGAAGGGCAGAGCACGGCAGAGCAAGCAAGCAGAGAAGAGAAGAAGGGCTGGGAGAAGAGCTGATGCCTGGCTGGCTGGCTGGCTGGCTGGCTGCCTTGCCACTTGTGTGTTGTTGCTGTTGGGGGTTGGGATAGGTGGGCACCACATGGGTATTGGGGTGTGTGGGTGCATGGCGTGGATGGAAGGAGCAACACAGTTGGGCACCGCATGGGTATTGAGGTGTGTGGGTGCATGGCGTGGGTGGAAGGAGCAACATGGAGGAACCAAAGCACTCCAATGTTTTTTAAAGCCCCAGAATTTAAATGCCTCTCCTTCCCTTATTTGTGAAATCAGCTTCCAAGGCCCCAAAAGGTCTCTTGGCCATATTTTTCTTAATAGTTAGCTGTGTGTTGCCACAAAAAACACTACAAATCCCATAAATTCAAGCCTCTTCTTCCCTAACATGTGAAATCAGATTCCAAGGGCCCAAAAGGGCTCTATGTACTCTCTTTGATTCGTGTCCAGCATTAACAAAGCGATTCGGAAATTTCAGAAAGTTCCGATTTTTTTTCGGAAAAATTCGGACTTCAATTCCAAATCGAACCACCAGTGCTCCTACATCCAAAATGAGTTTTGAACCATTTTTGGGGATCAACCAAGCCTATTGGTTTCTGATTTGTGTGTGTGTGATAAGTATTCCATCTAAAAATAAAAATACAACTTCTTGCCATTTGTTGAGCTATGGAGGATAGCAACTTAAAATAGAATGGGAAATCCAATTATACCTGTCTGTTGACAGCAAAGAGCATTCCCTATTCACTGAGCAGCTCTATATGCCTGCTCCCACTCAGCTGTAGAGAACAGTGAAGTGGATCCTTTGGAGCAGATTTTATTATTTATTTTAGTGGTATACAGCTGGTTTGCAGAGAGATGGGTAGGTGAGGAAAATCAGCCAGGGTTCTGCATCAGACACACAGATATGATGCCATGGCTTATGTTCCATCTCCTGAGTTAACTCCCAAGAATAACTTTAAAATCCGGGCATCCATACTGAGGGATGGAATCCTGCAGAAATAGTAAGTAGGGCAATGAATTACAATGTACCCAGCTCCCTCCTGCCATCAAGCAGCAATGCAACAGAAACAGGGACTTCTATAGATCCTCATTGCAATGTGGCTTGTTGAACTGAAAGTGATGGATGTGTAATCCTTTACTGCCATGCTCATTAGCACTATATAGAGCTCCATCCCTTGATACAGACACCTGGATTTTGAGGTGGATTTCGAGACATTTGGGGTCATGGCAATGGTGCTATGAGTGTAAAGGTAACAAACAATTACAAGGTCACAAGCCTAGCTTACAACATTATAACTTTCCTCCCAGGAGGCCAGTCATTCTTATGTAAATGTAAGTTGCTCATGAAACTTGGGAAGGAACTCAGTGTTTATTATAAGATGACTGGTGATAAGATTATAAGGAAATAGCACATTTTGGAACAAATTGATAGACTTCTGGATGGATACCAGTCAAATCCACCACTGGTACCACATTTCTTGTTCCTAAGAGGCTTCATCGCCTGAGCCAGACTGCTTTGTCTCAATGAAATCGATGGCTGAATGGTTGTGTGTGTGCCTGTGGGGGAAATTGTGTTCACTGGTGATGATGAAAGAGATGTAAATAAAAGACAAAGAAGAGCCCATCTCCTCATATAGAAATTTGTATCAGTGGCTTCACATTAGCATGTCTTGTAGAAAAATGCCTATTGTTGTCATAATTACTCTCTGTCACAAATCTACTGGTGTGAAAAAAGCAAGAAAATTGCTGTGCAGATAACAGAGCGGGCAAGTGCACCTGATCTACTGATTTCTATCTCTCTAATCATGAGCATATTGGGGTGTTTTTTTTAGAAATCACAGTTATGGTTATTATATCATAACATTTTATACTTGAGTGAGTGTACACTAAAGAAGCCATAAATCTTTTATCTGACATGTGCTTATTCTGACATTTGAGTAAGTACTCTAGCTTTTCTATTCCCCAGTTGTGTGTCCAGATATCATAGTAAGCAAACAATAAATGTAATGTCCATGACTGTTTAGTCATTCTCACTTGTAACACCTATAATCAGGATCTGTGCATTTTGAGCATGCAACTCTTCAGGACATTCAGACTGGTTGGACTTCTGCAAGATGATACCCAAAACTACCATATGTTAAAATTACCCACAAATTTTTTTTTTAAATTTTAAAAGCCATGATAAAAAGGTATACCACAGTCTCTCTTATTTTTGTGGAAAACAAAGATTGAGAAAGGATCTGTCATAACATTCATTTGTTTACTCCACAGGTAATACAGCTTGCATCTATTTTGTTAAAGGAGAAAGATTAATTTTGCGTGAACCAAAATGGTTTCAGAAATGTTCATTGTGCTCAAAAATGAACTTGGACACTCAAGCATTCATTATGCAAGTGAAGCAGCCTGATAGAAATTCTTCACTATGTTTCTTCTTGAAAGTAGCATCAAGTAATTTCAATCATTTTCTCACCACTTCAATCTTGGACTGTGTTCTGCACAGAAAATTCTTTCTTTGCAAAATAACCATGTGCAAATTTTGCAGATGTACAAAACGGCCAAGATTCTTGCTAGTCCAGGATTCTTCTCATCAGAATTTCTCAACATTTGAAAAATATGGGTTTGGCCATATTTTTAATACATTTGCATGTTCTCTCCATTACTACATTGCACTTGTCCCAGTACACAATATATCCCAATGCACATTGCAACTCATTGTGGGAGATGGGTTGTGTCCTGGAACTGTAATACAATGGCTACACTGCTGGCACCATTTGTAGAATAGCTATTTCATCTCTGCTGTCCCCACAGCATCTTTATATGATCACCAATCAGTTTATGATGATGTAAATACATGTCTTCCCATGTTTTCAGTTGTTTATCAGTATTTTTATTAGTCCGCTCCCCATGTTAACAACCAGAACTAGGAATGGAAATATTACATGCCATCACAGCAATTTTGCTGACTCCTGTGCCTTCCCACTATATATGTACAAACCTCCCATAATAATGAAATGCAGCTTAAAATGTAAGAGAGAAAACCAACAGAAAATCATGTATTAAATAAGGTCAATCCATGCTGACCTTTAGAAATTGCCAGAGGCCAGATAAAATAAACACATTTCCACCAACATCCTAAAGCCATGTGGAAATGTCAACACATTTCACAACTTTTGAGCAACCTGTAGAAATATTCTGTTCCACATCAATGCAGATCATACTTCTAAAGACCCATACAGGGGGGAAAACTCCCCTCAAGTAGTTTGGACTGCCAAATATACTAAAACTCTATTGCGTCTGTATTCTTTATTCAGCCAGCATTTGAAACTGTGCCCAGAAGTAAAAATAGTAACTTACGCAAATGATCAACAACTGTATCTTGATTCAATGCAAAAACAGTTTTCATTATATATTTTATATTTTGCATCTTTTATCATTGGGCTAGAAATGTAAAGCATGTTCTGTGTTTTTCTATAATACCATCAGATGGAGCCTTATATTGGTGATAAATCTTTTCTTTTCTTCATTCCAGGCGGGCAGTCAGAAATAAGCACAGCTAGGAAATGTGAGTTTGTAACTGGCATTTTGTTTGCCTTGTACTGTTTTTTTAAAACATAAGTGAGATCAAAGTATGGCCATAATCTGTCATTTCCAGGTCATAATGTTTTTAATTTACTTTCAAAACAGCTGGACAAGTAACTTCATCTAAATGCATGCAGAGGGGTCTAGCATTTATCTGATGATCTGCTATGATTTGATGAACTGAGCTATGGCAATCAAAGTGATGTCAGTCTGTATTAATTCTACAGTATAGATAAACAGTGTTATAGATGTCTATGAGACAGCATAAGACACACCTGAAGGCTGTATCTTAAGTAAAATTACAAACTTTTATTGGTTTGTTGTAACAAGTGAGTATATAACCAACCTTATCACAATTTCTTCAATGGCTACTGATCCATTTCATTTCAAAGTGCTGGTTGTGTCTCAGGTCCATCTTATCTGTAGGACTGTGCCTTCTCACATGAGCTCTGAGATTGGGGGTGGGGATTCTGGTCCCATCACCTTCATGGGTCCATTGGATGAAAACTTGAGAGGAGGACCTATTGGCTGCTGTTTCCAGGCTTCAGAAATCTTTCCTTAGGGAGGCTGGGATGGGTCCCTCCTTCCTGTCTATGAAAAAATTATTCTATTCCAACATTATTTTAAAAACTGATTGCAAGGGCTTTTAGGAGTGTGTTTCCACTTCTTTTTATCTTTTGTATTTTGAAAGATTTTTTCCAAATGGTTTTAGTTATATGAATAGTTTAATCCCATTGTAATAAATCTTTTACATATGACTTTTATGTATTTTATCTGTATTTGTTTTAAGTTCTGTAAGTCACTATAAGACAACCATAACTTACTTTTCCTCTTATTCTCTCCCCCATTCCACCCCCAGCTGCTGTGCGCTACTATCAATGTGTCTTTGTAAATGGATACAATGGGTACACTTCACAATATGCTGTTACTCCAGTTCAAGACAACAAAGGGAAGACTGGACAGTCAAAAACTTCTAGACAGAAGATCAAGGCACCGAAACAATAGAGTCATGCAACCTGTGACATTGTGACAATTTTGCACTTTATGCCCTCTATGAGGGGCATGTGAGAACCATTGGCATCTATGATCATAGAAATGTGATGTGATCCATTTGATTACATGCTCTCGGAAAGGTTCTCTGCTCTTCTTCAGAACCAGTAGAGTCAAAAAGAGAGGAACATGTGATACAACATTTGAAAGAGTACCTAAGTGCCCCTTTCCTGAAGGAAAGCATGGTGCTGAAGTTGTACTTGACAACTTGTACTTGCATATTTGTGTGTTTTGTACATCTCCCTGTATTTCTTAGGCTGTTTCTGTTTTAAGTTTGCAGTTGTATTTTTCACATCTTGTTTCCCATACAATTATCTTAAGATCAAGTGTCCCACTCAAAAATACTTAAGGACAGGAATAATAACTGTAGACTCTTTTTACAGTTATAACATGCTAGCCCCCTTTAGGGTGGTTGTCCTTAGGGAACTCATTATACAACTGGAAGGTGATTTGCTTGGAAATAAGTGAGAAAATTGTAATAAATATCTCTGTAAAGGTAAGCAGTATTTTCCAGTTTTTAAAAGCAGAGGGTAGAACAGATTCTGAAATTGTCCAGATCCTGCAAAGATGAACTAAATGAAGGAGGAGTTTTGAGTGTTTCAAAAATGAATTAGTGGTTTATATGCATTCATATGCACTTTTACTAAACTATTCCAAATCATATTATGTACTACCATAAAATATATATAAGGAGGAAGAGCCAGTTAACTGTCTGGTGGTGGAGAAGCTAAATCCGAAACAATGCTACTATTCATAAAAATGTTAAACATTCAGAATTTCAGTACTGTCTTAGCAAATAGGTTAACTTTGATATCTAAACTTGAACAATTTTCAAAGATTTCCTTTTCTTGGGGAATGTTTGGAGCTACATTCCCTTGTAACACAACACATAACTAATTTTTAGTGTGGATACTTGAAATAAGCACATCAATCCTAAGCCATCTTTTGTTTATTATTTGAGACAGTAAGGTGATTCTTTGGAGTCATGTTGATCTAAGTGAAATCTCTAAACATCCTTATTCTAGCTGTCTCTTGAATAATAATGTGTCCTTACAAATAAGTTCTGTATTATATTAGTTCAGCTCATCTGTGTTATTTTGTACTTGTAGTTACATGTCATAGAAACCTCATGAATGTTTCTAGAACACCTTCTTTAAACAAGTCAGCTTACACATGCAAACTTTTATTGTGTATAGATTTTATCTCCATAGAAGGATGACCTTACTAAGAGCTGGTGTTAATTCTAATGAGATGGCACAGCACTTCAGGTAACTGTGCCCAAAATGAATCTACCAGTTCTCCATTGTGTTTGGACTCCTTCATTTCTTCACTTCTAGACTAGACTAGAAGTGACTGGAATTTCTACTACCTACTTATGGCTGCCGGTGGAAGGGATGAAGTCCACTAAGTGTTGGGCAAAATCACATAGGCATTTTTTTAATGACAGAAGCTTACCGGTATGGTAAAAAAAAATCTGTATAAATAACTACATGGCATTACTATAGTGAAAAGGAATACCATTTGGAAGCAGAGATATGCAGTACTGTTTCCATTACTAGGTACTTTTCCATAGATAAGGAAAATGAATGGAAGTATACTGATGGTGGAACTTTCACTAAAAGTGCCATTAACTAATATTGTAGAATTTCATTGCATTTATACAAAAATGTAGAACAAGCTCTTTGTGTGATATAAAGGTAAATGACTTTTTTGGGTCACACTATGCTTGATCAATGAATGCAGACTATAAAAATATATAATGATGCTTCCTAAGAATCATACAGACTTTATACTCTTCCTGATCATTTGGTGAGATTTCCAGATTGGCATCAGGTCAGGAATGGAGTATAATCAACTAAAGACAAAAATATTTCTGAACAGAGTTAGGGGACATGGTTTCTTGTAGATGAACGCCATCTACCTCCAATCTTACCCTCCAGAGAAACCTTGAGGTTCAGTCACTTATAAATATATACATATAATTTGTGCTTTGCTTGTGATGCTTAATATAGTTGAATTGGCTTTCCAAAGATCTGCCAGTTTAAATCATAGATGTGTTTAAATAAAACACTTAGCACAAGGTTTCTTTCGAATATTATTTGAATGTTGCCAAGCTTTGTTTAAAGTTTGAAAGCTTTTTCATTGGGACTGGAAGCTTTTGCCGTCCCAGTTCTCCTAATGGGAGAAAAACATCATAGCATATCTGAGAGCAGACTTTGTCTCCTTTTGTCCTGTTACAGGGGTGGCTCAGTTGAATTGAATAACTGTCTTTAATCATAATGATAAAATAATATAACTCTTAACATTGGCCATTGATTTCAGAAATATTAATTACTTTGCTTTCCAGACACTCTGCATGTTGCTTCCTCTAGTGAATCCAATTAATCTGAAATCTTGATGTGCTATTACTTGAATCATTTGCATTTATTCAGAGAAACCTAACTCTTGAGTATATTTATTGCTTAATGATTATGCAAAATAAATCGGGCAAAATGATTGTGGTACATTTTTATCAGTGGGAGGATGGAAAAGGAACTACATATGAGTTATTTGTTTACACATAGTTCTAAACTTTCTGTCCTTCTATTTGAATGAACAATAATGAAACATTAATTAATGTCTTTCTACATTGATAGTGCTCATTGTTCCATATCCACTCTATTTCTTAAACCAAATTTAATTTTCCATGTTCTAATTATAGATGAATTGAGGTGAACCTCATGTCCACTAACCAGACTACATAGATTTGAGGTTAACAAATATATGCTTCATCACAAAAATAGAGGACCCAGTGCAAGCTAGAGCCTCAAAAATATTTGCAGGACTGAAGGTCCCAGAATCGGCTACACTGTCTTGATGGCTAGGGGATTCAGGGAGTTATAGTATACTAAATATATAAGGTTTTAAAAAGTAACTCCTAGCTTGCATAGTTAGTATTTCTGGCTTGATTTTTATCAGCGTAATTACATTTGATATACCACACAGGTCAATCTCATAAAGGTTGAGAATGGAGAATTCATGGTACAATAGCAGCTGTTTCCTGCCATATCCTGCCAACCAGTTCAAGAATTATGAGAGGAACAGGACTTAACGCCCACCCCACCCCACCCCACCCCCCATTTATCTTTTTTTCTGTTTCTCCATTATTGGTCCTCAATGTAGGTAAACTAACTCTGTCTCCCAGGTGGTAGCTCTTCACGTGGGGGAGAATCCAGAAACAGATGGGGTTTTGAATATTATGGATTCCATGCCACACTATTATGTACCAGAAATGCCTCTGGAAGGTCTCCTTTTCATCCTAGCAAGAATGCCATGATGCCGGAGAGCTCATGACTACCATAGAAAATATCCAGATACAGTTCTTCCTTTTCACAAAGAAACCTTCCTCTGCCCACAAGGAAAAGATCTAGAAATGGTTTTTGGACCTTGAGCTACTCTACCAGAATCCATAGGCCTGGATCTAAAATAAGGCAACAGCATTAGATGAGCTAAGCTCTCAAGAAAACTGCCATCACCTAAATCGAAAATACACCCAATTACCTATTTATAATAAAAATAAATTTTAAATTGAAGTTCAGATCCATATTTTCTGCCTAAATACTGGGATGTAATATGTAATTTTCATAATCCCAGAGTTGTCTTCCATTTTCTTCTGTAGAGTGAGAGTTTCAGGAAGTAAACCTTAGGAAAGGTGGGGGGAAGTGCTGTTGACAAATGTATTTCACTTTTGATCAATAATTATTAGAACAATATCTAAGTCCAGTTTCCAAGATATCTAGTATCTCTAATCTTTAATAAGCATATTCTAGTTGCCCATTTAATATTACCAAGCACTGGGAATGGGAGTAACATATAGCTAATGAAAGAAAACTGTTGACTTAAGAATTGGTCAAAAACAGGAAGTTGCATGTGCAAAGCAAATAAGGACATTAGAAATATGACTAGGAAGGTGAGTGGAAATAAAGGAGCAGAAAATCTGAGATAAATTATATAGTAAACATTTTCCATAGGAGGAAATGAAATCATTCTATAATGTATGCAGAAGTGAGAATAAGGGAAGGACATAGAAAACTGGGAAGTTGGGAAATGATACATTTCAGATAATGTGCATTGGAGAAGTGAATGGGAACATTAAGGAGTAGCTATGAGAAAAGAAAAAAAATGATCATGAGTTTTGGGATACAAGGGCTAACAAGTAATAAGATATGTTTACTAAATACTGAAGAACCCCACTATGGAAGAAAACCAAACTGGATGTTTGTTAGTCTTCTTGTGCAACTCTCACAATAGCTTATACCTATGTATGAACGTGGAGATCATAGCACAGATCTCAATGTGAAATAATCTTTTAGCATGAGAACATATTTCACTTATTTCTATGTGAGCTCAGGCCTGGGGAGGAGCTCTGGATACCTCACACACAGATTGAAAGCCCATCATGTGCAAACACATTAAGGAGACCAGAAAGCTTGTCAACTCATTTTATACATTTTATTCAACCTCGTCCCACATCCTCAAATTTCTGTCCCTTGATAATTTCTGTCCCTTAACAGAGGGAAAGAGTAGATGGCTACATGAAAGATCCTCACAAGATTTCCATTCTTTCTAATGATCTGGTACATTCCACTTTCATGCATCGCAGAGAAAGATAACTGGCCTGTTCAGCAACCTATGAAAATGCCTGGCTGAGTATGTGCTGTTTCAATGACAGGACTACATATACGTCCCCATGTACTCAATGTAAATCACCCTGTGCTGTCAATTTAGGAATCTAATGTGAAGGGAGCAGAAGGCTTTATAGACTATACTACCAGGAAACCCTTGAGCTCTTCAAAACAGACAGGACTGCATACAGGTTCTTTTTATTTCACAATATAAAGCCATTAATCTGAAATCACTATGCTGCTAAGGAAGAAGTCTTACTGAATTCAATGGAACTTAAATACACATGGTTTTATTCAAATAGGAAGTCAAAAATTCTGTTCAACTTCTTCCTAATGCTTGGTAAATGGAAATTTATTTAGACTTCTTGTGGACAACTGTGGCCTTCAAATGTTATCGGACTGCAACTATCTTGCCTCAGGCTGTTCTAGCTAGGTTTGATAGGAGCTGTAGGCTAAAAGCATTTGGATCACCATGGTTTTCCATCTGTGCATTAGTTCTAGGAGGGTTGCTTGCTAGTTTTTGAATTAGAAATATTCGTACAATTTCAGTTCATTTCACAGTATTTTCATGGTTTCTAGATTGCACATGAAAAAATGGGATCTTCTTGTGATGAAAACTGAGTCCCAACCACATCCTTAAATTAAAATTAAAATGAAAACAAAGACAAGATCACTTTGATGTTGAATTGGGTGTGACTGTGATTTTGCTATTTGATAAATATCATTGTATGCTGCTAATAAAATGTTTTCCTTTCTAAAACTACTATGCTTACTTTGTATTTTTTTATTCTTCAAAATGCATTTACTGTAGCATATATTTTTGCATAAACTAACTTATCTAAATGTTGTAATTTCTTTATCGTATAGTTCAGTCTTTTAAAAGTTTAGTTGTAACTACTTATTTGATACTTTAAAGTATAACACAGTTTAATCTTTAACCTTTTTGGACTGAGATACACATTTTGAGACTTGAAGCTGGGTTTTTCAATGGAAACATTTAAGAAACAAATGCACTGTTTGGTTTATATTGGACAACATATTTTGGAAGACATCATCACTTCCTTCCAATAAAAGGGACATAATTTTGAAGTTTGTACTTAAATAGCATATATCTGGCACAGAAAGTTGTCTCTGTAAGTATCTTACATTGTGCCAACCACTCTGAACCGATCTTTTAAAGGACTTATCCCCAGCATGGCCATTTGCATATATGGTGCTGAACAGGGAGGATAAATGGAAATTTATTATTATTATTATTATTATTATTATTATTATTATTATTATTATTTTACTGACACAAAAAACACAGTATGTCACAGCAAATGAGATATATTTACTGGGTTTCTTATCAGAAAATCACAAGTCGAACACTTCCCAAGTGCAGATCCAAGTCAGGTCTTTTGCAGTAGACAGATCATGATTTTGTCAATGTTTATTGTTTCCAAATGCCGGCTGAGATGTTTTGGCATGGCACCCAGTGTGTCGATGACCATTTGGGACCGCCTGTACTAGTTTATTCCTGAGCCTTTGCAGTTCAATTTTGAGGTCCTGATAACGGCTGAGTTTTTCCTATTGTTTTTCGTCAATTCAGCAGTCACCTGGTATGACGACATCAATAATCCACAATCATTATGTCTGGTGTATTGTGTTCCAAAACTTTGTCAGTCTGGATTTGAAAGTTTCACAGGATTTTTGCATGTTCATTTTCCACTACCTTTGCAGGTTTAAGATCCCACCAGTTCTTTACTACTGGCCAGTGGTACTTGTGACATTATTATTATTATTATTATTATTATTATTATTATTATTTACCTGATTGTCTTCATAGCTGAAGGCAAGGTACATGGTTAAAACACATAGATAAAATATAACACAATGTATTAAAATGCATGTATTAACAACCAGATTGACATGCATACTGATAAAATATAAAGTTAAAATTCAGAGTTTAAAATTGACTGGGTAGGCCTGCCTGAAAAGATTAGTCTTCGATTATGTCTTGAATTCTATTAGCTCATTTAGCTGTCAAAACTCTTCTGGCAGATCATTCCACAGCCTCAGGGAAGCCAATGAGCTCACCAGTTAAAGCCAGAGGACCTAAGTGTGTGAAGCAGATTATATAGAAGAAGGTGATCCTGTAGGTAACCAAGATCCAAACACTGTAGAGCGTTAAAGGTTATTATTGCCAACACTTTGTACTTTTCCTGGAAACTAATTAGCAATTAGAGGAATGACTTTAGTGCAGGTGTAATAAACTCAGTCCTGTATGTTCTCATAACCAATCAGGCTGCCATATTTGGAATTAATTGGAGCTTCTGAACAGAGGTAGCCCAATGTATAGTGCATTGCAGAATTCCAACTTCAAAGTTACCAGTGCATGCACTACCATCTTCAAGTCTTCTGATTCTAGGAAGGGGTGTAGCTGGCATATCAACCAAAGCTGGTAAAAAGCACTCCTGACTCCTCTGATACACATTCTGTTTAGGTATTGCCATTAGCAGTGTGTGACATCAAGCCCCACTTGCAACTATTTCCATTTCCTGTGTACCCAGAGGAACCTCAGATCTATTGACCACAATGGAGTATAACTCTATGACTTAGACAAAATCCATGATTCTGCGGAGTCTCTAGAGTAAAATAACTGTATTGTTAAGGACCATATTATTTGATAGATCCTGGCTCAATGAATCATCTCAACAGCAATCTTTCTGAAGTCATCCATGCTCCTTGCTTTTTTGCTTTTATTTCCCTATAAGCATTATTATAGCCTTCTGAACAAATCTGGCAACAATGAAGGACTAACCTCACTTCCTTTCATGTTGCCATATGGTTTGAAAATGGGTATAATTTTGTCTTTGAGTCTTTCCCACTAAGCAGAGCAAGAACTTGTGATTTCTCTGAGAGCATTTTTGGACAGTTTTGCTTTGGAGGAAGGATTTATCTATTTCATTTTCTCACCTATGAGACTAATACCTTTGTCAGAAGTAGAAAAAGGAATGTCAGAGTTGTCGCTCATGAGTCAATGGATCTCTCTATGACAATATGCATTAAACTAACCGTGTGAGAGAGAACAACATGCCATGGTGGTTTGAGCACTGGACTACGATTCTAAAGACCAGAATTTGATTCCTGGCTCAACCTTGGAATTTCACTGGGTTACATTGGGCAAGTCACACATTCTTAGCCCCAGAAAACTCCCTGATAAGGGCTGCTATAAGTCAGAGACAATTTGAAAGTACACAGAAAAACTTAATTGTGTCAGTATATGATTGTGCTAATTTTTAATTTCTAGTGGCTTCATTATACGAATGAAAAGATAATGTTCTGATCTTTCATTCTTACTCACTGCAGATCTAAAAGGGAGTTAGTTACTGTGTTGATTAGGAAGCAGAAGAAAAAATGTATTAGCAAGTACATTCAATTACAGAATTCAGAATCCACTGTAAAAATAGAAAACCAGTCTGTTTGTTTGTTTTGCTTGCTTGTTTGCTTGCTTTATTCTAAGTTTGCAAATGCTTTTAAGGAAAAGGATTTCTTTTACAAGGCACCAATGAATTATGCATTATAACATGCCTTAGGTACAAGCGATCACAAAATATTAGTTACTTCCTATTGGCAGATATTACATCTTGCTAAGCTGCGAAACAAGTAAATTAAATTTAAAAATATGATTTAAAAATAGCTGGTAGTTTGTGTTTTTTGCAGGGATTGTTTGTTTGTTTTAGCTTCCTTGTTTGTTTCATAACCTTTTAAACTTTCACAGACTATGTAAGGAGCACAATTACAGAACTGTGCAGTAAATCCCATTCCAATCTGAAATCTGTTGTTAAAGTGGATTATGTAGAAGTCATCCAGGTAGCTCAGCTACTGCCTCATCAAAATACAGCTCTCAAGGTGATGAAGGTAAAGTGAAATCAAACACTGGCCAACACACATTTTGGTGCCTCAAATGTCAGACCTATTTCTTGGTATCGTCCTCTCCTGTACAATCAACCCCAAACTCTTAGAGCCTCTGGGTGGGAGGCAGTTATTCCAACTATCACCCAGAGGACCTTTTCATCGGCTGCCCCAAGATTGTGAAATGACCTGTCTGAAGAGCTCTGGCAGCTAAATGAGCTATCAGAATTTAAAAACAATCTAAAGACCTATCTCTTCTGGCAGGCCTACCCAGCCAGTATTAAGCATGAATTTTAAATTTATGTCCTTTTTTAAATCACTGTTTTCTGTATTTTAATATATATCACCCATAGAAAAACATTTTAATATGTATCTCCTATAGAAATACATTTTAATATGTGTACCTGTGGTATTTTTACAATGTGTGTGTGTGTGTGTGTATTTCTGTAACCCACCTTGAGCCACGAGGAAAGGCGGATACAAAATAATAATAATAATAATAATAATAATTGATATATTTCACCTGTTGATTCCAAAAATTACACTAGTTTTCTCCTATCAGCTCTTGTTTTTGAGATACAGAACATATGCCATATATCACTCTTCACTCTGTTTGCCCATAAAAAAACATGATAACCATAACTAAGAAACTAGAGCTGATGAGGTCTATCCAATGCAATGTACTGAATCGGTGCCCCAAATAACCCCAGGAGCAGGCTTAAAAACCAAGATGCCAAGAATTTTGTTGTTGTTGTTGTTGTTGTTGTTGTTGTTGGGCTGTGCAATGCTATCATTGTGTAGTGTGAAAGAGCTCTATGAAGAGAGGACTAAGCCCTTTCTCCACTTCATGTACAATTTTAAGGAGATGGATACAAAACAAAGAGCTGTTGGGTGATCAAAATAGTAAAACTAATCTTGAAAAACATGGAAATGGCAGAAGAAGCTAGAAATGATTTTCAGGAAAAAGCAACTTTTATGTAATTGCAGAGAATCCCATGTAGTACTCCTAGCCCTCTTTTTGTTGACAGAAAACTACTTTAAGGGTCAAGGTACTAATTCTAATTTGCTCTGCTGCAGTGAATCATAATTCTCCATATCAAACTGAATAGGGCTATTTGTTTTGGTTTTGGTTTTTTTTTAAAAAAAACTCATGCTGTTGTTATGTTTCAATCTGTGCAACATCCTCTACAAATAAGAAAATGGTTCCATAGAGTATGCATGTGATGTGGAGGTGTTTGTGATTTGCACAGCAACAAAAGTCAATTTAAGCATGGCAACGAGTGTTGATGTGACACAGGGAAGTCTTCTTGCCCTTAAGCCCTAGGATCAGAGTTTGCATTTTTCATTATTCTGTCACTGCCATTTGGATTTGGTTTCTCTTTTCTTTCATGAGTTTTAAAAAGAAAAATACAGTATATCGGGGGGGGGGGGGAGTTCAGATGCATCTATACAAATTTTCCAAAATGACAGTCAGATAAGCAAACAGGGACTGCCTTATTACTAAAGTGAGACAACCGCCTGAGGTGGTTAATATGAGAGTAAATAAGGCTGCATGTCTGTTACATGTCTGAACTAACCTGCTGCCTTATGATACAATGATGAATGCTGCCTCTTACCATGTTTAAGCACTATTTGACAGCCATTCTAATTAGCCTTTGTGCATAAAATGAAGGGCAACATTTCATCTTTTCCATCTGTTAGTAAAATATCTTGAGGTGATCATGGGGTTGGCTTCCAATGTTATGCTGCAGCCCTAATATAATTGCCAAATCCTTTAAGAACATGTCATGTTATAATTTTGGCTTAAAGAGGAAAAATGGGGGTGGGGGACCATGTATAATTATGAGCTGAATTCTACAGCCTTCA